GACTACCGGCCGCCTCCGGCGGAGCACAGCCTGGGGGGGCCGCTGCACCCGGCCATGAGCATGGCCTGCGAGTCGCCGTCCGGCATGAGCACTTATACCACGCTCACCCCGCTCCAGCACCTGCCGCCCATCTCCACCGTCTCCGAGAAGTTCCACCACCACCACCACCATCATCACCACCCCCCGCACCATCATCCGCACCACCACCAGCGCCTCTCGGGCAACGTCGGCGGCGGCTTCGCCCTGATGCGCGAGGAGCGCAGCCTGGCCGCCTCCATGGGCAACCTCTACGGCCATTACCCGAAAGACATGACGGCCATGGGGCAGCCCCTCTCGCCCCTCGCCAACGGGCTGGGCTCGCTCCACAACGGCCAGCAGCCCCTGGCCCCCTACGGGGGACACCTGGCCGGCGACAAGCTCCTCTCACCCAACGGGTTCGAGACCCACATGCTCTCCCGGAGCGAGGATCCCCTGGCCAGGGGGCTCGGGGGCCCCGGGTCGGGGATGATGCCCCCGCCGCTCAACGGCATGCACCCCCACGGGCACCCCCACCACGGGCAAGCCAACGGGGCCCTCCTGGGCGAGCGGGAGAGGCACCACGCCGCCGCCGCTGCCGCTGCCGCCGCCTCGGCTTCCCAAGCCGGCGGGTCGGGCCAGGTGGAGGAGATCAACACGAAAGAGGTGGCGCAGCGCATCACGGCCGAGCTGAAGCGCTACAGCATCCCGCAGGCCATCTTCGCCCAGCGCATCCTCTGCCGCTCCCAGGGGACCCTCTCCGACCTCCTGCGCAACCCCAAACCCTGGAGCAAGCTGAAGTCCGGGCGCGAGACCTTCCGCAGGATGTGGAAATGGCTCCAGGAACCCGAATTCCAGAGGATGTCCGCCTTGAGGCTGGCAGGTCGGTGGGCTCCCCCTTTTTCTCACCCCCCACTCCCCATTTTAAAAAAATCAACTCGGGGTGGAGTTGTGGCAGGGTTCGGGGGGGGGGGGATGGGGACGGCAGCGGGGAAGAACGCGAAAGGGGGGGGGGAATAGGATTTTCGGATTTGCCAGCAACCAAGAGGTTCAGGATTCTGGATTTTAAATGGAGGGGGAAGGCTCCCCCGTGGAAAGACACCCCAGAGGGAGGTTTGTTGTTGATTGGTGAGTTAAGGTTTTTTTCCCAAAACGGCATATAGGGCTACGGCCCCCTTTTATCAGCACGGCCACCCTAAAAGTTAGGCCAGGTTGGAAAAGCCTTGGCGATCCAACCTGGTTGGCTCGGGGCGAATGTCTTGGCCCCCGGGGGAGGTGGGGGTGGGGTGGGCTCTGAACCCAGGTCTCTCTAACTCCTACACCGCACTGCCTCCGGCTGGACACTTTTTTCGGGCATCATCCCACAGCGCGGAGTGGGTGGCTGAGATTCCCCCACCCGTTCGGAGAGGATCCCCGATAAAACGCGGGTTAAGATGCGCCCTACGTCGCATGGCGGGTGTGTGTTTAAAGCTGTGATTGACAAAAAGGAGTGTCGTTCCTTCAAAAAAAATGTATGCACAGAAATCCAGGAGGGAAAAGCAGTATTCCAAATAAATCGGCGGGAATTTTTCCTTTGACGTTTGATCTTCTGTATCCCCGTGCGGATTCACACCGACACGCATCCTTCCGACCCGAATGTGTGTTTGTGTTTGTGTTTCGGACAGAGACGCCCCTAGCCAAGTTGGTTCCTGAGGGGAGGTGGGGAAGCGTGTGCGTTCCCCCTCACCCATCCTCTAAAACCGCCCATTCACACGTGCATAGGTTGCATTCTAGGTAGAGGAGAGACGATAAATCCGGCTCAAAAACACACAAGCCGGGCAGAGCTCAGCAATCGATCACTATTAGATCTTTTCTACACTTCACTCGGTCTCCCCCCCCCCGCCACAGCCCTGTTTAGATGATAGATAGATAGATAGAGAGAGAGAGAGAGAGAGAGAGAGAGAGAGAGAGAGAGAGAGAGAGAGAGAGAGAGAGAGAGAGAGAGAGAGAGAGAGAGAGAGAGAGAGAGAGAGAGAGAGAGAGAGAGAGAGAGAGAGAGAGAGAGAGAGAGAGAGAGAGAGAGAGAGAGAGAGAGAGAGAGAGAGAGAGAGAGAGAGAGAGAGAGAGAGAGAGAGAGAGAGAGAGAGAGAGAGAGAGAGAGAGAGAGAGAGACAGACATACTCTATAGATTTAAAAATGTGATAGATAGATAGATAGATAGAATCAATTTGTTATCTGTGTCTCTGGCCATCTGTCAAAGATTCATATCTATCTAGCTATCGTGATCTTATTTTCTGTCTGTCTATCCTCAATTCACTATCTATCTATCTATCTATCTATCTATCTATCTATCTATCTATCTATCTATCTATCTATCTATCTATCTATCTATCTATCTATCTATCTATCTATCTATCTATCTATCTATCACATTTTTAAATCTATAGAGTATGTCTGTCTGTCTGTCTCTCTCTCTCAGGCGCGTGCGGGCACACACACACAAACAGAAACACGGTACCTCCCCCCCTCTCTTTTGCTGCTCCCACAGATCCCCCTCCCCATATACCCGCTCCCGAACCCCCTGTCCAACATTCGGTGGGTTTCACACGGAGCCAACCCCCTTGACGCCAAGGGGCCCAATCTCCAGGCCGACGTCTCTCCCCCGCCCCACTCCCCCAGCCACGGATGCAAGGGGGCTGAGAGAGGCACCCCCCAAGACTCCTGGGTTCCTCCCCATCATCGGCCTGGGACTCCTGCAGTATGTATACAGTATACACATACAGGCGCCCGCGCACCCCATACACAAAGGGAAAGCCAGCAAAGCCCCCTCCCCAAAAAAGGAGAGGTGCGGTGCGGAGGGGGGTCCTGGACTGCGGGGGGGGCCTTACAGTCAGACGCAGGATTACGAGGGATGGGTTGGGGGAGATAAGTGGCGGGGAGTAACCCAGGCTCATGACTGCGCGCCCGCGTGGGGGGGGGCGTTTGTGAAGTCTGTGGGCGCCTGTCCTCTATTTCTATAGAGAAAATTTCTATATTTTGCCCCATTTCTATCCTTACGCATCCATCCATCCATTTATCTATCTGACTCTTCTATCTGATAGATAGATAGATAGATAGATAGATAGATAGATAGATAGATAGATAGATAGATAGATAGATAGATAGATAGATAGATAGATAGATAGATAGATAGATAGATAGATAGATAGATAGATAGATAGCGGTGGCCTTCTGAAAAAGGATTTATTTATTTATTTGGCTTGTTTAAAAGGAAGGGAGGGGGGAAAGGCTGCAGGGGGGAGCAGTGTTTTTTCCTGCACAAATTAAACCTAGATAAAAATAGAAATATTGTAAAAATAAAAATAAGGGCGAGCCAAGGTGGCTTCATTAAATATCATACCACCCCCTTTGTTTCGGGAATATTTAAAAAACACACACACACAACCCCCCACGATTTCCTTTTTTACTCTTGTAGCTCCTTGAAGCGGTGCCCCCCTCATTTTTTAAAAAATACAATCCATCAAGGTGAGAAAACCTATGAGGGCCGTTCCTGAGCGGGTTTCGTGGCGCAGCCCCCAAAAAATCGTCTAGTGAAACCCGAAAGAGCACTTTTTTAAAAAGAGGCAGAGAGAAGGGGGGGATCTTTCAGGTTGCAGCCCCTTTCTTGGGCGTTCGGGTACAGTGGTGACAGCCGAAGCTTACCCAAAAACTGGACAGTCTCCTAGGGTGAGCCCCGGGTGACTTTTCTTTTGTCTCCACTGCCAGGCTACCCTCCCTCGCAACCTGAGTTTTTTTAAATGGCATTTTAACCACCCCTCGCCTTCCTTTCACCTCCATCCTAGGCGTGGAGGGGGCTGAAGCAAAAACCCCTCCAAGCCCTTCTCCCACGGCCTCCCCCCCTCCCCCCTTCCAGGGCGGATCGATATAATCGCCCCTTGCCTTTCACAAACGGCCGATCAATTATCTATAACCAAGGCAACGCTTTGAATAATAAGGCGACAGGAACAGCCAGCCAGTGGAGGGGCTGCCTTCTCCTCCCCGAAGCGACCTGTGTGAATCCGGTTTCTTGCGCAGGAGCTTTTGAACCGGGGGGGGGGGGAAACCCGCCCGACGAAGCTGGTGGCTTGGTCTGGATAGGGAGAAGACCTGCCTGCTGGTTGTGGTAAGCCGCCTGGCTCCACAAATCTCTCCCGCCGGATCGCCAGATTTCCCCCCCCCTCCAAAATCCTCAACCCCCTCAGGGGTTTCTCACCGCCTGTTTCTGGACGTCGTCATGTCCGAACTGGCAACCCCCGTGTTGCGCCCTGGGGGACCAGGAGGATGCAAGGACGGTGAACACAGAGGTTCCCCCCCCTCTTCCCCACCCCATTGTAACATTGTTCCTCTCCCTTCTGCATCGCCACTCTAAAATAATCCGAATTTTCTGGACTTAGACCAAAACTACGTACAGTAGATCTTAAATTTTTGGAAGCTTTTGTGATGCAACTGATTTTTCTCCCCACCCACTCCACCCCACCCCAACAACTTTGTCTGGTGCCTATTGTGTGGGTGTGTATGCGCTTGTGGGTCTTGGTTTTCATCCCACAACCCTCAAACATTGATTTTTTTCCCTACCTGTTTTTGCTGCAGTTTAGACGTGAAGGCGAAACAACCCCATCACTTCACTGTAAACGAGACTCATTTCCCCTTCCACTTTTTCATACGAACTTTTCACGGCCACCCTTCCCTTCCAATCTTGGTTTTCAAGCTCCTTGGCGTAAAACAATGGTCTTCTCCTGAGCTGCCCCACTAATATTTATTTATATAAAAAAAAATTTACCCCACCTTTCTCCTTTAAAACGAACCAAGGTGGCTGACATCATGAAAATACAATATTTACGTTGCAAATAGCCACATTGGGAAAGGCAGTGGGTTCGACCAAGAAAAGAGGAAGCAAAATTGACACACTTAAAAATTGTTTAAGAGTGTCATCTCTCAGAACAAGTCCAACATTTGGACCGAGCCAAACTGAGATTTCAATGAAACTCTGGAACTCACCACCACAAGATGTAGGAGTTTCAAAAGACTTGGGGGGGAAGGGTCAGGATGCTTCTTCCACCACTAACAACCTAAGAAACACTACAAAAATCAAGTAAACATGACAACCCTGAAGAAGGAATAAACTCTGCCACCAGATGTAACGATAGATGCTTGTTGAGGCTGCTTTAAAGCAGGAATTAACTCATTGGAGGAGGAGGCAGAGGCTTAGCTTGTAGCTGAGTGGAACCTCCATGGATCTACTTAGTCTATCTTGAAATAATGGCCACCAGGGGCAAAGACTGGCTGATTGTCAGTTGCCTTGATCTTTTTTTCTGTACCTGTCTGTCTGTTTACCTGTTGACATGTCTTCCTTCCAAAAATGAGATACCATTTTTGGCATGTTTTCTTTGGTTTTATTTCATTTTATTTACTGCTAGATCTGAATTCTAGCGAAAAATCAGTTTTCTTCTCTAAAATAAGCCCTCTTTTAGCCGGTTCCCAGCAATAAACAGATGCAAACATAATACTGTATAGTATAATAATGTATATTATAGACAGATACATAATATGACATATCTCCTACGGTAGATCAACAGACAAATAATTGTACATATAATGTCTACTAATTAGAATTCATCCTGTCTAACAGGGTAGCTATCATTATAAAATACAAAGGGATATTGCCAGGGTCTCTTTTTCTCTTTTTAATCTGCCCCATAATTTAATAAACCCAAATAACCTAAAAGAAAGTCAAATAAAATTTAAGCACCCCCAGGGACTCATGCAGAGTAGCATGAAGGAAACTCGTCCTCTAGGAATTTTTTTTAAAAAAATACTACATGTTGGAGCATGCATTGCTGTCACTGAGGGGTTTGACCGTCGCTG